CCCCCCCCCCCGCTATCTATTTAAAGTCTATTAAAAGTATATGGAGCTCGCTATACCTTCAAAATTAAAAGACAGCAGAGGCTGAGTGTTGCTTTGGGGTTCTCAGCAGATGTGGAATGACCCATTGTTCATTTAGGCTTTCCTTTCATGTGGCTCTACTCTGGAAGACGCTACAGTTGCACGATGGGAAAAGTTAGATGGCGATCTGCCAGAGAATGCTGTCACAAATCGAGGAGTTCTCAGGCTGCCATCGCTTGATAGAGAAGCTGAGGGATTGTTCGTTTAATGATCATAATCCTTTCATGAAATTCCAACCTGCCCTTATCACTAGATTTCCAGGTATCAATGCACTGCGGTAGATAATGACACAACGACAAAGTCCGTTATTGAACTCCAAGTGGATGGTAAGTGACGATTTGGAGAACTTCGATTGGGAGCTAGAGGGAGGGCCATTGTGGGAATAGCTCGCATTAGAGCTTCAGTATATCAGAATGACGGCTGTGGAAGGGGTTTATTGTTAGACCCTCCGATGTTCCCAAGCTGCTGGTTGCCGGCTAGCTGAAGTCGGACCTTGCGATTTTTAGGCCATACAAAGTTTGGCAGCTTAAAAAGCGTCTTCACTAGATTCTTCCCTCAGCACTTGAATATCTTCACGTTTTGTTTTGCGCATAATCTGTGCCCACCCGCAAAAATTTGTTGGTAAACCAGGGCCTTTCTAGAGCGATGCCATCCGAAAGTTCTCCATCTCCATTCTTTTTATCAACTCACAATTTCAGTAGACTTGCCTTTTAGATTTCGTGCCAACATTTTTTGGTCAAGAATCCCTAGTTTTTCCTCCTATGACTGACGAACAGATCAGGAATATCGATGTGGTCCTTGCCGTCAACCCACGTGGCGAAGACGGTAGGTTTACTGTGACTCCGAATCCTACTTACCTCTGAATGGTCATCGGTTATCTATGAAACTCAAGAGATCCTTGCAGGAGTGATCTTCGAGACAACCCGTCGTCCTTCACTAGCAGGTGAAGATCCAGCAACAATCACTAGACCACCAAATATTGAGCATCGGGCTCGAATTGACCATGGCGTTGTGGTGTATGAGTATAACATTGGTTACGGTAAAGGTACGGTCATTTCAACCTTGTTTGCTGCTAGTTACGAATACTACGTACCTCCTTTCTCCTATAGAATCCCTTACATCGCCGAACGCCGTACTCCCACACGAGTGGAACACAATTCGACTGATCAACAACGATACAAAAGGCATGTTAAACAGTGAATCAGCTTCAGGGTGGTGCTAAAGTCTGGGCGTTTTAGCCGTTCTACAGCTCAACTCTGGTCCTCCAATAATAAAGCCACATCACCCCACCAGGTTTGAGCAAGGTACAAATGGACCAGTTTATCTGGGAGGACACGTCGAGCCTACGGATCCCAACCACACCCATCAAGGATTCAAAGGTGACACTTATTCTTTTGATTACCTTCCAGAACAAGTCTTTTGGATCCTCACAAAACTATGGCGACCTACGGAATAATTAGCTGAGGCTTTTGTTTTTCAGGAGTGATAAGCTCAATGACCGTGTCGGGAAAGCCCGTAGATCTTGGAAGTGTGGTACGATCGCCTCATATGGTGTCCCATGACTCCTGTGCCCACGTCCTTTGCTTACATTCATCTCGTTGTAGAAATGCCAATATTCCTAAGGTACGAAATGTCAATGATTGTCTTTCTTGGCATTTACTCCAAAAACGGGTTAATATTTTTCTAGCTGCTAAGTTTCAGAATGAAGTGTAGCTATGGGATATATGAGCTGTCAAAAATATCAAAAAAAGCCTGTCAGTTGTATCAAAAACCATTCATCAGTGATCTCTTGGATTTTGAAGGCTTCGAAAAATCTGTCAGTAGACGGAATCCGAAAGCCGCAGCGGGAGAAAGAGGGCCATAGTATCACGATAGAACCAGGTCTTGATTCCTCATAATAGGGGAGCCCTACCAATCGAATCACCTCTCTAGAACCTCACCTTTAGCAGTCCAGAATAAGCCATTTCAACTGGAGCAGCTCTTGTCAATGGGTGATGAATCCGGTGAATTGAGTTATCTATATCCGAAAGCATTTCTGACAATAACACTTGCGTATTCTGCTATTCTAAACTTCAGAGTATCGAGTTGAGATGGGATAGGAAGGATCGTGAATGGAACAGATTTACAGTGAATTATTTCAGGGTTATGAGTGTATCTGCCCCCTGGAATACACCGGTGAGCACTGTGAAAGAAGGTCCGCTTTCTGCCGAGACGGTAAGTACCATGACATTTCGATGAACTTGATCTCGTTGATGGTGATTCGGTTCAACCATGAAGCAGAGTATATCCGGTATTTCAGAAGACTGTAATTCTGGCGTATGTGAAGAGGTGGGCGACACATGGCAGTGCGTGTGTCCCCTGAATGCCACGGGGCTACGGTAACTAAATTGTTATAGCCTGAAGTTGTGTCGTAACCAAATTTTGAACTCGATTCCAGTTGTGAAGTACCTGTGCACACTCCACTCGACGGTGGTCTGGGCTTCGGTGCCGACACATCCTTCATGACGATGCCAAGACCAAAAGACTTGGATCATTTCCAGGTAGGCTTCAAGATGTCAATTTGACTTATTGTCTAAGATAGTCTCTTTTCTCTTGAGGTTTCCATGAGTCTGAAACCCCAAGATGTGGAACAGGATCATATGCTGCTGTACGTAGGAGCCGATTATGATCCTGATTCATCAACGCATATGAGCGTTTCTGTCACTGACGGTTCTATTGTCTATTCCTATAACGACGGAGCAGGCAAGTGAAAAAGTCTTATTCTGACTTGATGTTTTGCCGAAGTACGCGTTCCAAAATTCTCATAAGGTGGCGATTTATGGACAAAACTTCAGTCTCGGACGGGACTCGAACCCGTGTTTGTAAGGGATACAAGGATAAGGGATGGAGCACGATGCGCGGATAGCACAAGCACGGGTTCGAGTCCCGTTCGAGGCCGAAGTTTTGTCCATAAATCGCCAACCTTGCAAAAAACTCTTATTTTGGTTCTTTTTCATTGGGGAGAAGATGCCTTTAGCAGATGACAACATTGGAAATAAGCTTCTTCTCCATATGTTAGGATGAAAAACTGTCTTCCTGCTTTATAAATGGCAGGTTTAGTTAAATCGCAGATGGTATTGGTCCCAAATAAGATCTCAGGAGCATGCGCGTGGTAGTGCACCATTTGGCTGTATACCGCTCCTTACCTCTTCATGATACACCCTGACAATCGCTTTTCCCTCAGTTTTGCATGTATATCCGAGGCTCTTTGTATCGACTTCACGTTCTTCCTCTAGTTCAATGGTGGATGGCCCTTCTTTTCACTTCCGCCACTACTTCTACATTCAGATCCTTTGTCTTTCTTTCTTTTCATCTTTCTTCTTTTTTCTTCTTCTAGCCCGCCTGGTTTGTTAATATCCCAACTCACTATAAGTTGGTCTTCTTCAGGTCGCGAGGAATTACGAAGTTTGCCGATAGAACCTGGTGTCGAATATACTGTGGTGCTGTCCCGCAACGATTCTGCAACGTCTTTAATTGTAAATGGGCAGATGTTCGAGCGGGAGGTTAGTTTCAAATTGGCTTTTTTNTTTTTTATGAATCATCATGAAATTAATGAATCATGGTGTACGCCACTATAGTGTGTTTAGAACGAACTGAAGACATTCGAACCAGGGACCGATCTTTTCGTAGGCGGCCTACCTCCTGGACTCGACATTCCTGATGACGTTCCTGCCACTTCGTTCTTTGGATGCATCAATAAGGTTTAATTACTATTTTCTTTGGAGGCAGTAGTCTCCTCCTCAGAACTTTTTAGCTTCCAATTGGAATAAAGTAGTTAATTGAGTTGAGTCATTGCGGAAGAGAGCAGCTACTTCGGCGAATCCTTGCTAGAGCTCTTCCTACTGGAAGATCTCATTAGACAATACTCTTTCCCGATAACTCACCCTATACCATACGTTGAGGCTCGTCTTCCTAGCTCATGAGAGGATATCCCTCTCTCTGTGACTACAGACACGAGGCCATATCATGCGCTCCATGAAGCCCATCTACCGATTCTCCTAAACCTAGAAATTCCAGCCTATCAAATGGCCCAAAACTGATCATTTGGCCGAAGTCTGTCCCTACCTGGTTTTATCATATCACTTACTGTTAGTGAACTGGTTTAGATAAATGTTGATGGAGTGGAGCTGGACATAAACAATCAGTCAGCGTTCTCTTCTGGAGATATTTCACAGTGCGTGATGGTTGAGCAAGTGTTCCCTACGAAGACATTCACCCCAGAAGTTCCTGAAAGTTAGTTTTGAAAAGTTTCAAACACATTTTAAACGTTGAAAAAATGGACTCATGAATGGCTCTGGAAAAGCTGCTTATTGATTTTACGCGCACACAATCGATAGCGGTTTGTCGATAAAGCAAATGGAGCAAATATTTGGAACTGTAAAACATTTTTTGACCACTACATGGCAGTTTTTTAATCTGCAGCTCCATCCCCGACGGAAGCGACTACGACGGAAGAACCGGTCCACGTCTACGAAACAGACAAAGACTCGGATGCTCCTGAACCTATAATACCCAAAGTGGATGAATTTGAAGAACAAGAAGTAAAAGAAGAAGTAGTAGAAGAAGTAGTAGAAGGTAAATGCGAGAAATTCGCCTATTCAACGACAATTTTCACGATTGAATCCCTTCCAGAACTGGTGACCGAAGTTCCTTTATGGGTAAATACCACCGAAGAAGTCATCCTTGAACTACCACCAGAGCTAATGCCTACCGTTCAGCTCTCTACAGATGATCCATGCACAACAGATGGGATAGGTACTTTTTAGTATCCAGTAATGTGCTTATACGTTATGAATCTTCAAAAATCATCTCTTCAGGGGAGGCATGTTTATCGAAGGTGTGCATTGACCATGGATGCGGTCCGAATGGCGAATGTATCGCAGTGAATCAGACCTACTACAGATGCCAATGCAATTTGTATTATGACGGTCCTCGTTGCGATTTGTGTACGTTCACACTCCACTCAGTTCTTTTTCGGCCATTTGAAATCTTCTGAAGACATTCGGTTGGGGAAAAAAGGTAAGATCGGACGTTCATTGCCGATGTCTAGGATGCACCCCCGCCTCAGAATTCTATTCGAAATCGTAGTGTCGTTTTGAACACATATGTATCCTATACAATGGCTTACGGGTGACCAGTCGATGTACAAGTCAGCGCTCTTATCCTTCTAGGGATACCTGGTAATAATTAACCGGTTCTGGAGGGATAGGGACCTAGTTGCCCGAGTGTCGGTCCGAGATTCGATCTCCGATCATGCGCGCGTGATAGTAAACCTTTTACCACTACAACACCACCACCGCCAACACTGATAAAAGGATAAGGGATAAAGTTTTGGGGCGTTAGTCAATCCCGTCAGAGAGGTGCGCCCGTGCATTAGTCTCCCATTCAGAATCGTAGTGACATATTGAAGCGTACGTGGCCTATAACAATGACTTTCGGTGGTCAGCCGATAAACAAGTCAGCACTTTTATTCTCCTAGACGAGTCTGGTACCAATTAACGGTTTCGGAGGGACTGGGACTTGCTTGGCCACGTATCGTCCAGGGATTCGATCCCGGACCATGCGCGTGTAATAGTAAACTTTTTGCCAAACATAACCTCTGCCCACCATCAACACTAGTATTATCATTAATCAAAAAATGGGCCCAAGATAGAGAGGTCCAAACAGCAGACATCTTGTTCACAAATTAGTACGAACAACGTCCCCTCTCTAGGTAGTCCGTTCTCGACGGTATTCTTGCTCCTTGCTAAAATTCCAACCAGACCATTCAGAGTTTAAAGGCACCGTTCACTATAATTTTGGGTAATCCAGATTTTGATGAAAAATGGAAGACAAGATCGAAACTAGTGCGACTGAGGTGAAGAAACAGCGTGGATCGGTGTTTCCCAAGTGAAAAAAGGCTTCGACAAAACCATTAAAAAGGGGGCTGGACGAGAATGAAACCAGAAAAGTGAAAGAGTGGGGCGTCCGGACGAGCTAAACAGTGTGTTTCACAGCGCGCGTGTGGGTGCTGGCGCGAATAACAGACAATGGTAAGCGAAAATTCATTCACTTATAAGCATAAATAAACAAAACACCCTAGTAACAGCAAAAGTAGCTCACCTTTTTCAGCCCCTAGGAGTAAGAAATTAAATAAGGGATCGCGGCAGCAAAAAGAAAAAGAGAGGAAAAAGAATGGGAGTAAAACCTTCATTACACGGCGAGCTGATTGTGCGTGGGTCCTAGAACGAATAATAGCAATCTGTATTGTCTCGACACTCGTCTAACGTGACACCGATCGAGGGGCGGGAAAGCGAACTACGGCAGCAATGGGGCTTCCACTATGCCCTAAGCGCCGAGATTGTGGGAGCGAGAGGGTCCCTTCTACCACCCATGGGGGGCGCTGAGTATTCCTAAAAGAGGAATTCAGTAACCTTTCTTATCGTGAACC